TTATTGTATTTATAGATTTATTTATGTTATTTTAACTAAAAAGTACTTTAGGCCAGATTCTTATATAGAGAGGAAAGGCCTCTCCTAAAATAAACAACTTTGTTGACTTGTTGGCCAAATAACAATTGTTCACTGACTTATTAAAATAAAGTCTTTTACAAGAGATATATAAATAAATTTGATCTATACTATTTACTTTATATTATATCACATATAAATGATAAAGAATATGCAAATATTGTTTTTGAAACCATTTATTCAATAATTATTGTTTTTGAAATGATTTATCCAATGATTATGATTTTTGATAAGACAATACTTCAAGAGGATAATGCACCTATTCATAAATATAAAGTTGTGAAAGAGTTTAAATATGAGCTTGAAATTGTGACCATGAAATGGTCTTCACAATTATCCAACCTCAGTCCAATCAAGAATATATGGAAAGAAGTCAAAGATTCATAAGAATAGAAACCATGATCAAATTTAAATTAGAAGAGGCAGTTATTGAGGGGTGGAATAATATTTCATCTGAGTTTATAGATACTATGCCCGAACGTATTAAAGAATATATTAAAAAAAAAAAAGGATTCGCAACTCATATAATTATGTGTAACCCCTCTGTACAGTATGTATGGTAGTGCGTCAAATATACTGACAGGTCGTGTGCAATACTGGTCAACGTTTTGGAAATTTGATATGCTCTCGAAGGAGATACTGTACATAAAACCACTTTAATTATTTTTTACGTGCAATCAGAAAAAAAAAAAAATGAAGAGAAAAATAATTAAAGATCTCATTCTTGACCAGTAAACTTTGACAATGTTATTTCACATACACTAAATTAAAAATTTTAAAATAGTTGATAATCAATTTGACAAATGTTCAAGATCATTATCACCGAGTAATCACCCTTTTTTTACATCTGTATATAATGCCCACTTTATCATTAAAGAAGTCCGATCCCTTTTGTCATAACGGTTATCTCACTGCTTTACGACAACGGGTCTCTGACAATCATGGAAAACGCAAACGTCCTTTCCACTTGTGGTATTACAGAAGTTATACATAGCCTGTATCGCATAATAGCCCGGTGGTACATTGACAGAGAATGGTATGGTATACTGCAATGACTTATTGCAAACTCGTGTGGGCGTGGTATCTGCGTCCTGAGCGATTGTCTGATTTACACAATGTAGATCACTGCTGACCAAATAGAATTGAAGATCCGTTAAAAAGCCGGTTTGGTCTCCCGTGAGCTATTTCGATAAAAGATGGAAAGTTAATTTTGGATTCAGGAAAAGATAATTAAGTTGATTATAAGAAATATTGTAACGTTTATAATATAAACACACCTTTGTGATGTTATATATAACCTTGGAATCTTCATTCTCCTTCAGAACTTGCCCTGATTTGGGGGAAACGAACGCAAACATTGGTGAATCGCACTGTGTATCGCGAGCAGGTTTATTGCATGGTAACACAGTAGTAGTGGCTGTAACGGTTTTCGTGACCGTGTTAGTCAATGATTTCGTGACGGTGTCGGTTACTGTGTCAGTGAATGACTTCGTAACAGTGTCGGTTAATGTAACGGTCATAGGAGGCAATGTCTTGATTTCTTTACTAATCTTTGTTTTGACATCTGTCACAGTATTGGTATTCGTCACGGTATCAACAGCTGTCACAGTATTGGTTTTTTCGTTGACTTCGGTCTTTGTTTTTTCGTTGACTTCGGTCTTTGTTTTTTCGTTGACTTCGGTCTTTGTTTTTACGTTGATTTCTGTCTTTGTTTTTTCGTCGATTTCCGTCTTTGTTTTTTCGTTGATTTCCGTCTTTGTTTTTTCGTTGATTACTGTGTTGGTCTTCGTATTCGTTATGGTATTTGTGTTTGTCACAGTATTAGTATTTTCGTATGTGCGAATTTCGGTGGTGGTGACGGTGCAAGTGTCAGTCTTGGTTTTTGTGACGGTGCAAGTGTCAGTCTCTTTTTGTGTGGTGGTGTATATGTCGGTCTCTTTTTTTGTGATGGTGCATGTGTCAGTCTTTGTTTTCGTGATGGTGCAGGTGTCAGTCTTCGTTATGGTGCAAGTGTCGGTAACTGTCTTTGCTGGACAAGCATTGCAATCCCATCGTTTATCGAAGAGAAGTGGCTCACGAACTGGCGAAATGTCGTCACCATCAGTAGGGGCAGGTATGGAGTGCACTAGTGAACCGACTATAATCAGATGTAGGGATAATAGGAATATTATTTTTCTCGTGTAATACATTTTTTGTAAAGTCTTTGATGGTTGTTCACGGGAGGAATCTTCGCTAGTATACCTTTCGAAATTTACTTATAAAAAAAAAAAACATAGATTAAATATAAGCATTATGCGCACTTGGAGCGTTCTTATAGTATTTTCCTTTGAATCGCACAGCATATGGATCTAGGCTACTTCTGGGTTCAAGCAGCGTTTCAGCTTAATTGAAATCGATAGAAAGATACATTATCATGAGAATTACTAATAACGCCGCGCCGAAGTAATTAAGGCTTGGTCATAAATGGAAAGACGAGTCAATAGGAATAATCATATAGGTCGGGTATAAACATATTGCACAAAAAAAAATTGCCAATTTTATACACAAAGAATGCTAAAATTTTCTTTTTCTCCTAAACTCACTGACTAAAAATAAAAAATTTAATTGTAACTGAACAAAAATTTTAAAACCGGCGTTGCATCATAATTTGATTATGAAACAGTCTAACCATTCCCCATCCCATTTGTTTCATTATCGAAAATCATCCCATAATTATTCTCTGTTCGCCTTAGTTTTTGGTGCAAAGTAGAGGCTACATCTGCACAAATATTCCTCTTCTCGCAGATTATGTCTATATCCATCGGCCATATTAGTTTGATGTGAGTTAGTACGTGATGCAAAAATAGACGCCATTCTACATACACCTGTGGCGTTAACCCGCGAAGTTTTCTCCCGTTCCTCATGACTTTAAAGCGGATTCAAACATATGGATAGGAACGGGTGTCCATAAATAGATCAGTTGCCGGAATTTCTATTTTCTTAACTTAGCCTTGATCAATGAAAACGTTTTACACGCATTATTCATGGAAACCATGTTCGGAGTGAGATGCAAAAATTCCACAAGTACTATTTTATCAATTTCCGCCTACTATTTGACCACAGTTCCTTTTAGCCGACGAAATTGCACAGTATAAAATTTGGACCTTTTTAATACAAACTCCAATTCTGTTAACGACTTCAGAGTTCTACGGATCCGTATGGATCTTGCGCAGGCATCAAACCAAGCGTCCTGTAGCTCTTTATTTGCCAAGAAATGAGGAGTTCGTGTAAATGTTTGGGTTTTGTTTTTATTATTTTATACGTGACCTTTTCTGTGTCTGGAATTCTATTTTTCCCACAGAAATACGAAAAAATGACGTACAGTATATTGACATTTATTGTTCGTTATTCAATCGTATCTGCATTCTGCTAGTTAAACTACTATTTTTATCGTATACAATTTGTATACTATCAAATGAATTTCATATTCCATTTTTAAAAGAAATAAATTAAGCAAAA